TTTTTATGGCGTTTGTATTGTTCAATTTTGCATTCTACTTTCAGCTAATCGCTTTCAATAAAGTTGGTCGCCAGCCAACATTCGCCTCGTGCGTACACCTTTTAAGTGTGCAATTACATCGCGCCATTGACTAAACCGAGCTGTCGTGTGACGATTGGGCCTATGGATGCGGTTTGGCAATGTTATATTGCGTCAAAATCTCATTCGGAGACACCAGGATTGTGTCGTGGAGTACAATACCTAAATACCTTCGTTGGCTCATTGAACGCTTTACTTTACAGCGACTTGGCAGAATCAAGAGGTCTCCACGAATATCGACAAATACATTTCGGCATTTAAGGGAATTTCGTCTCTTAACATTGAATTTCTGTAGTCCAACGATTCTCACCCATTTTGTCTTGTTGGCGCCAGCGAATGCAGAACAAACATTTCTTCAAATTTAAAAAGTAAAAATTTCACTACTAACAATTTAAAAATGTTCTTAAAACTTGCAAAGAAATTTGGAAAAGAAATATCACTGTTTTTGTTTTTAGGAGTAGGGTGGGAGTGTCATTGATAAAATTAGAGCGAGAGAAAGTTTTTCTTACAAAACCTTTCATTATTGAATCATGATGACACATATCGTAATGACATACTCCTTCAAAAATGTCATGCATAATGTCGACAGCAAAGTTAAAAGTTACATGAAATGAAGTGATCGAATTAAAAATACACTCTTCTCTTACTCCTGTTGAATGTACGTCACCCAACTGCACATCTACATTGTAATCAACAGGATTTCGATATAAATTGAGATCTTCACTGTGCATTTTATGAGTCGACGATTTATGAGTTTTGCAGAAGCGACAAAAAAAGTTACTATTGAAGGAAGGAGTAAAGCCAAGGATAGTGTTTAAACCCAAGTTATCTCCAAGAATAAGGCCTAAAATAAAATGCACTGTTTTTTCACCTTCTGAAGTTGTAATAGTAACCCCGTTTTCTTCGAGGTGTTTTATGTCTCGAACTAAATTGCGAAGGCATAGCCAATTCCCGAATTGCTTATAATCACGACCCTGAAGTGTGGCTGCTAAATATATTTCAGAATTTCTCATAACCGGAAATGAATAATAAATAAATGTAACTGAACTAGTATGCGAACCAAGAGGATTATTAACTTCTGAATCATCTATATATAAAAAAAAGGCAAAACAGTTTTTCCGTTTTCAAGAAGTGGTAAACTTTTTTGTTTCCACAAAGAACCGCAAATAAAATTACTACCTTCCTCTAATGTTTTTGGGATGTTTTCTACATCTTTTAAAATTTGTAATAGCAGATCACTTTTTTCCAAAGCCTTCCGAAATTGAAAAGATAAAGGCAGAAGTACACCGGTGATAACAACTTCATCGTATAGTAGAACTCCCCGAGAATATTTTTCAGCAATCTCTCTGCTTATTACAAACTCCTCAAAATTACGTGCATAATCATTTTTATTAAGCCACTTAAATAACTGATATTCGTTTTCAAAGCCACGAAATGGATATGACATGGATTCGATAAATTTGCTCAGCAGTAATTGCTGTTCAAAACTATCTGGAGATTTCGAAATATAACTATTTTGTATGAACTGTTTAACGGAGTTTTTTATCGGATTCACTATGTCTTTCATTACGCTGTCTTGAATTTCTACGACATCTTTTCGAGTAAAATTATTCTTGCTGTGAAGTATCAGAGCAAATCCAATAAATCTTTCTTCGATTAAACGTTCTTGTGATTGAGACTTTTCCTCGTTTAAACATTCTAACATATTATCAATCTCGATTACAGAATCGTTTTCTCTTGGAATGTCTGGTGTTTGAATAATCCGTGTATCTAAATATGTGGCAGAGCATCTAGAAGTACTTGGAGCGGCAGAATCAAAAAAGGTTGTTTCTGTTTTTGTTTCGGACGCGTTTACTTTTTGCTCAACATTCTCTTGAAGCATGTGCTCTTGCCGTACATGACGTACAAAACAATTCAAGAAGCTGAAAAATGTATTGCAATATCCTCCAAAAGTACATTTATATATATCCCTTTGACCCAAATTATGTACCAGGCGAAAATGATACGACATACTACGGACAGAGTCCAAATTTATACCGCACATAAAGCAATCCATTCAACAAATGCACACAAAACCAGCTAGCCCGAATTCAATTAATCTGCAAATATACAATAATACAATACATTTGTCGGGCATATGAAAACGATAATATGAGAACTGTTTTCATACGATACGCTTATTCCTTTAGTTTCTACCAATTATTCACAATTTTTAAATAAAAACACCTTGAAGAACCACGCTTGCGCCTTTGGTTGCATACGCAAAATAAATGGTGGAGTTCAGCTGTCAAATAGTGGTGTGCTGAATTGTCGGTACCCAATACGGTAGTAGTGCACTTTAGCGGAATTGTCGGTACCCAATATGGTAGTAGTGCACTTTAGCGGAACCAGATCAAAATGGACGGAAAAAATCGAGAGTGGTATCAATCGACGCGTCTTGACACCAATCATAATAATCCGAGACCCGAAATTAACATTTTTAATTAATTAAAAAGTTATTTGCAAATAAATAATAAAAAAAAATATTCTCAAATAAATAAAAAAATATTGGGATCGATAGAGATGATTGAGCTGAACATAACGGCATATACTTTTTTTTTGCGGAAACAACAATTACAAAAGTAATTAAGGGTCAAAGCTCAAATTAAACAATTTTTAAAATCAAAATTTCTTAAAAACGGATGTATCGATTTTAAAAGTTTTGATCTCATTTGATAGGACATTTAATTCCCTTTACTTTGATATACATACTTTATATATGCCTGGTTTGGTTATCACAAAAATCGAATTAATATACACAGAAAGGAGTTCCGCTTCTCTTCAGCGGCAACACAGAAAGGAGAATTCTACTTAGTTAGGGTCATATGTATATTAAACTAAAGGGAATCAAATTTCCTATCAAATGAGATCAACATTTTTAAACTCCATGCATTCCTTTTTAAAAAATTTTGATTTAAAAATTATTTAATTTGAACTTTGACCCTTAATAACTTTTGTAGTTGTTGTTTCCGCAAAAAAAAGTATGCACTGTTATGTTCAGCTCAATCATCTCTATCGATCCCAATATTTTTTTTATTTATTAGAGAATCGGAGCTATTCTGCATTGGTTCCAAAATTTCAATCATAGTCGCGCCAAAATGTCAAAAGAGCACAAACGTCAAATCGAAATGTCACGCAACACAAATCTTGGAATTCGAGTTAGCTTTTTACGCACGCCGGTCAATTTCGGTTGGTCCCATACAAGGTGTATGTGCATGAGAAATTTTTGACAGTAACCTGCTGGCGTGCGTAAATATCAGGTTGGCCTGTTAGGCCTACAAAGATAACATCGTCCGATTATCTAAACAAAAAGTTCTCAAACAAGGAAGAGATTCTCTGCACAGAGTTGACGAAAAATTTATATATATTTTTCATTTGAATCTCTTCATTAAAAGTTCTCTTAGCCCCTAAACTCGGCTTTTGATAAGCTAGGCTTCCCTGCACCGCTTTTATTCCATATTTTTGGTCTACGTGCGTTCTTATTGGAACCGTAACCATTTCGGTACCGAGTATCGAAAGTATTGGTTACTTTTTAAATCGATACCGAGTATCGATCAATACTTAAAAGTATCGACTCAGCACATCACTACTGTCAATCTCCAAAATATGCAAGAAGGACGGAGAGACCAAAGAAAATAGGATAGGATTACAATCAGGTTAGACTTTAAGCCTTTAAATAGTACACTTTAATAGCATAGCGACTTCTCACTCCGGAAAATATGAAATAGTGGGTATGGTCCGGACTTTTTTCCTGAGATGAACAAAATTTACTATATCTGTGCACGCATTTATTAATACTGTCGGTTGAAAATATGGTATTTTTTGCAAATTTCCGAGCAACACAGAAAGGAGAAAGTATAAGTGATGAATACATACATTTCTCGGATTAAAAAAATTTATATTGGGATAGATAGCGGTCTTAGTCCTGATCATAACGGTATTCTTTTTTTAAGGTGCAAATAATAATTACTGGTGCCATTGAAGGCCGAAGAACCAATTTTTCAATTTAATTTGATAGGAATAACTAAAAAACTACTGTATGAATTTTAAATATTTTGATGTCGTTTGAAAGGTATAAAATTTTTTTTTTTTTAACAATACATATTTTACTTTTTTTGTAAGGCTTATGAGAAAAATGAGTTTTTATAAAAAAACATTACAAAATTAAAAACAAATGATTTTTATTATTACATCACGTTATCGCTTCGGCAACACAGAAAGGAGAATTCTGCTTCGTGAGGGTTTTAAGCAGTGTTTGCATTATTCAACTTTGCGTTCAACAATTGCGTTCAACTCAACGCAGGGTTGCACGAAAAAAAAGTTGAATGGCTAAATGTTGGCTGCCGACCAACTTTGTTGAAAGCGATTAGTTGAAAGGCCATTCAACCAAAAGTTGAAAGCAAAGTTGAACAATGCAAACACCTTTTTATGGCGAATATTTTGATATTTTTTCATATTTTGATATTTTTAGCCATTCAACTTTTTTTTCGTGCAACCCTGCGCTGAGTTGAACGCAAATGTTGAACGCAAAGTTGAACAATGCAAACACACTTTTATAATCCCTAAGTGCAGCCGAAGGCTGTCTACGCAGAAAGAAGTTCTGCGCAAAAATACTTTCGACTATTCAGATAAGACATGTTGTATATCAAATAAAAGCTCGATTTACACCCTTTTTACGGTTGTATTTTTATTTAATGTTGATGAAGTTACTTTTAAAGAAAAAACTACATTTGTTAAAAAAAAAATATTTTTATAAAACTTGTTTTTTCATAAATTTTTTAAATAAAGAATAACATTATTGTATATCAAAAGCAAGGTATTTTTATTACCTTTATAACGACATAAAAATCCTCGAAATATCATTAGTGATGTACGAGATATTTAGGTTTAAAAAAATAAATTTTTTGACTTTTTGACCTTGAATTAAACGTACATTTTTTGTTTCCACCAAAAAAAAAGTTGTGGTTGTAATCTGTATAAATTCCTCTATAGAGCCCACTATTTTAATTTTTTTTGAGAAATGTACGTATACTTTAAGATTTGGAACTAACAACTCCCCCCATATAGCAGCCATAATATCCATTTGCACAAAAAGTTTTATATACCCTCGAAATCAGGAAAAAGGGTGGCCCACGCCCACTTATGCATATTGCCTGGGGTGAAGAAGCGCTATTCTACACTTGTTCTAATAATAATATTATTGAGTCGTGAAAATGTACTATTTAAAAGGCTTGAAGTCTAAGCTGGTTGTAATGTTGTGAATATTTGGTGGAGTGACAACACCTGCAATAGGTGTCAAATTAAATATGCTTGTTTATTCCAATTTGGGTTTTGGCTACTTGTTATTAAAAAACCTTTGAAAGTGCTATAAATTTCATTTAAATTTAATAAGTAACTAAATCCAAGCAAAAAATCACTATTTATTTGGTGTATTGTAAACAGTTGTGGAATTTGTAAGCAAAAGCAACGGTTTTGCCCCCATTTTGAAGACACTCGCCTGAGGAGCCCGGGAGTCGGAGTAGAAAGAAGAGCATAAAGTTGGGACTGTCCCTTTTCTAATGGAAGGGGCTTAGGGGCCACGACCTTTCCCCTCCGCTTCCACCCCAAAAAAGGTGGGCCAATAACTAAACATTTCCCGAAAAACCAACTTAAAATCCACTCGCTCACCTTTAGCAGCTAGCAATCCCAGGTACCAATGTTGAAGAATAGTTTGTATGATTAATTACACAAATTATGTCTCACAGCAGCCAACAGGAAATTCCGCAAACCACACTTTATTCAAACATACGGCGAAAACTGCGATGTAAAAAAAATTAAAAAAAAACACAACACACAAGTAAAAGAAAAAACAAACTTAAAATTCACTCGCTTACCTTTGGCAGTTAGCAATCACAGGTTCCAATGTTTAAGAATAATTATATGATTAATTATACTATGCGTCCCTCAGCAGCCAACAGGTAATTTCGCAATGACACGCGGTACATAAAAATATGATCAAATATTAAACTGCCGGCAATTTAGTATATTGTACGAAAATATTCGTATATTGTACGAATTTAAAAAAACATGTTTCTGCTTTAGTACTATGTACGAAAGTATTTAGTAAATTGTACGAATACAGAATTGTAGATTTCGTAAATTTTAAAACCATACGTAAATATTACGAATGCCTTCCTACAATATACAAAATTATTCGTACAGAGATTTGTTCAGTAATTTACGAATGTGTTTCGTAAAATAAACGTATGATTTCGTAAATTGTACTGAAAAAATGCCTTACAAAAGTCCTTTCGTTATATTTACGAATGGTTCGTAAAATCTTGCTTCGTTGTGAAAAATGTGTTCGTATTATGAACGAAAGTTTCGTACATTGTACAAAAGCTTACACTACGAAAGATTTTCGTAGCACTTTTACGAAATTTTATTTTCAGTGTATATGAGCATAAGCACGTGTATTATATGTATCTTCTATTCAACTAGGTCGTGTTTTTATTTTTGGGTCAAATCTTTTGTATGTTTTATAGCCAATACTTTGCGTATTTTAGATAAGATTTTCTGTATGTATGTACATATGTCTAGTATTTGTTGTGCTGATTTTTCTTTCCTTTTTGGTATGAAATTAGTTTCTGCAGCACTTTTTCTGTTACTATTCCAAATGCTCTTGGTAATTTTGTAAATACTTTCATTCTTATTTATGCACGAGGACGTACTTTGTTTTGTTTCGCTGGGTATACTCAGTGTATGAGTTATACTTTTGTTTTTGAAAGGTTACTCATACGCCAGATACTGAGGTATGGTCCTTCTCACACCTTGCAAATACAATTATTAAAATTTGAGTCTTTACGTTAATTGGTATTTATGTAGCTTGGTAATGTTTGCTTGGTGAAAATCAAGCGATTCAAAAGATGTAGTGAAAATTAAATATTTAGTCGATGCACAGAACCTTTAAACCAAAAGAAAGGCTTGATAAATAGCATCGGAACTCATCAGTAAGCGGGTCTACTTAGAGTGTACATCAAGCTATCCGCACGATAGTTAGTTTTAAAAATGCCGCCGAAATCCGCAATAAAATCCGCGTTTTGCTAACTTTAGTCCTACAATTACCACACCCATTTCTAAGGGTTGGTCTCCTTAAATAAAACTTTATCGAAATCCGCAATAAAATTTAAATTTTAGCAAAAACCCGGTTTTTAACACCTTGCTAAATAAACCCCATCATAAGTTTTTGAAAACAAATTACAACAAATTGTTGACTCTCAAAAAATAAAGCATCTCGTCATAAAACAACAAATATT